TCATTTTGAATAAGCAGTTCAAACAAGCAGCAAAAATCGTTCTTTTTCTGGAGCGTAGAACGGAAATGGATTTATTTATTTGAGTTATTTTCACACGGAAATGACACAATTTACCTGAGAAATGGGAGGTAATGCACTTAAAGGTGCAGTAGGTGACCTGCCTAAATGCTAACCCATTAGCATAATATGTTTGAAACACAATCCCTCTCTTGCCGTCCTTTTGAAATCATGCGCACGCGCACAATAAAGACGACAGAGACCCACTAGATCAGGGGTTATCGCCATAATTGTAAAAATATCAACATAAAATATAATTTTATTTACATTTAATAATATATATATATATATATATATATATATATATATATATATATATATATATATATATATATATATCTATATATATCTATATATATATATATCTAATGAATGAATCTCCGGTCATATATATATATATATATATATATATATATATATATATATATATATATATATGGCTGCACTGTGGCGCAGTGGGTAGCACGTGGGTTTCCTCCGGGTGCTCCAGTTTCTCCCACAAGTCCACCTTGATTTTAATGTTTGATGTATTTTTAATGTTTACCTTCATTTTAATGTTTGGTAGGAGTTTTCAAATAAAAAGCCAACAGTAAATGAGGTATTTAAATAATATATAACATTTACAGCTCTATCTGTTATATAAGATCCTGCTTCTAGAACTTTAATGTTTTATAACAGCAAATTCAGATTAATTCAATAAAGTTGACATCCCAGAGATGTCAAATTAAATTAACGTTACAGAAAATCATTGTGAAGAGCAGCTAACATAAGTTTTGTCTTCCTAAATTTTATTTCAGACCAGTAAAGAAAATTACTGCTAGATAGTGGTCACCTCTATTTTCCCCCACATGGCTCAGCTTGTATCAGCAAACTAATAGAGTCTGATAAAACCCTCACTTTACCAAATAAACAGTGGTCCATCAGATCCTGTAGGTCAGAAAGTATAGTTTACTGCAGAACAGCTCATTTTATCATGGTAAAATAACACAGATATCCAATAATAAGGCTTCAATCTCCTCCCGAAGCTCTGACGGTCGGCTTTGAGAAGCTGTCAATCAACTGTCAATCACGATGACACGCCCCGTTTTTATAGCATTAAATTACTGGCTATGTGCTGTATAAGTTGGCGGTTCATTCCGCTCTGGCGACCCCAGATTAATAAAGGGACTAAGCTGAAAAGAAAATGAATGAATGAATGAATGAATGAATGACTATGTATGTACAGTTAAAGTCAACTATTAGATTCCCTTTGAATTTTTTTTCTTCTTTAAATATTGCCCAAATGATGTTTAACAGAGCAAATAAATTTTCACAGTACGTCTGATAATATTTATTTAATTCCGTTATTTTAAAAGCAATTTTAAGGTAAAAATTATTAGCCTCTTTAAGCTCTATTTTTTCGATAGTCTACAGAACAAACCATCATTATACAATAACTTGCGTAATTACCCTAACCTGCCTAGTTACCCTTATCAACCTAGTTAAGCCTTCAAATGTTCCTTTAAGCTGCATAGACGTGTCTTGAAAAAAGATGAGATAAATCAGCTCTTAGATATGAGTTATAAAGCTATTATGTTTAGAAATGTATTGAAAAAATCTTCCCTCTGTTAAACAGAAATTGGGAAAAAATAAACAGGAGGCTAAAAATTCAGGGGGGCTAATGATTCTGACTTCAACTGTGTGTGTGGGGGGTATATATATATATATATATATATTAATCTTTTTTTTATGTTTTTTTTTTTTTTTTTTTTTTTTTGCACAAATTTAAAGAGAACCACAGGTCAATAGGGAGATTGCAAAAGTCCAGCTTTTGTTTTAAACTGGACTCTCTGAATATCTACTATTAAATGTCTCCTATTTAAAAATATACAGACACAAGTAAATTTTGTGTCTGTTTTAAAACACTTACAGGACCTTAATTTTGACAACTATGTGGATATATTAAATGCACAGAGAGAGACTTTCACTTCACACATAGTTTGTGAATGAACAGGCATGCGTGTACTAGTTACAGACGTGATCATGAGGCTGTTTTTGCGCCAAGTAATCAATCAGTGAACAGGAGAAAGTGCATTATAATACAACATATTAATAATGAAATCCACAAATTATAGTATAATATTGAGAGTTTAATTTCTTACGGCCCACCTGCAGGATTGCTGAGGCCAGTTAGAAAACGTACATTATATTACTACAATTCAGAATGAAAAACGGTATTATATCTAGCACGTTTTCAGTTGTGTAGCAAGCAGAACTTGTCATAATGTGCAATATTTCGTGCATGAAATAATATTACTATGCCATCCTTTCATGCTATTTCAGACGGAATATTCAGAGTAGCGGTAAACAATATAGGGAGCGAGTCACAGGCTGTCGATGTTCTAAACTAATGAACCAAAGCAACTTGACCTCAGTGAAGCAGGCTCGGCGGAATATTTACTGATGTTTTGTTATTAAACTACAAATCTACATTATCGATGCTGTAAAAGGTCTCTTATGAAACATCATTCTATCGCTGGAAGATTTCTGTGGCTGAACAACACTTCTGTGCATATAACCCGTTCACAACAACACACTCTACATCAGCTCTGCAGGACTAAAATAGTTTTAAAACAGAACATTACCTGTCTAAATTAAATTAAATGTGCTCCAGCGTACAAACAAAAACTCCATTATTGATTACTAAACTCCTATTGATACAGGAGTTTAACAAGTTTTGATTCAGCATTTGTTTTTACCGCTGTCACTTATGTCCATGTGACCGCACAAACAGCAGATCTGCGTGAACGGGAGAGAATCTACATTTGTTGACGGACAGTTTGGGCTACTTATCTGAATTATAGGAATTGTCTGCATGACATTTATTTATTTATTTATTTATTTATTTTTGGCACCTTTTTTAATTAGATAGGACAGTATTGAGACAGGGGGTAGGGAAATGTCCTCAAGCTGGGATTCGAACTGTGGACGCCCTGACATGCTACTGCACTATATGTCGGCATGCTAACCACTAGGCTATTGCTCAGATGTAACAGAGGCCAGCTAGTAAGTGTTGTGCAGGTAAACCTCACTCCTTTGACCTCTAAAGGTGCTCTAGCGACAAATGCTAGAGGCCCTGGTCTTTAGCCTCCTTGGTGGAGCAACCGGCTCCCATGCGAAAGGTCGCTAGTTCGATACCAACTCGGAGCGGGTTGGGTGGTGCAGGACCGGCAGGGTTATATTGGTGCCGTGACCTGGATGGGAGTGAGGTTTAGGGGGTGTGAGTGTAACGGAGGCCAGCTAGTGAGTGCTGTTTCGGTAAACCTCACTCCCCTGACCTCTAAATGTACTCTAGCGACAGTCTCTACAATCCATAGTCTTTAGCCTCCTTGGTAGAGCAACCGACTTCAATGCGAAAGGTAGTCGGTTCGAAACCAGCTCGAAGCAGGTTGGGTGGTGTAGGTTCATTGGGTTACACAGACTGCCTGACAATTTTTAACTAGATAAACATTATTTAGTCTTCAGACCCATATAAAAATACCTCACGAGAAAATGTAAGTATTTTACGTTTTGCCAGTTTAGTGGCGAATTCGTACGAGTTCAGTCGTACGAAATTGTACGATTTTAAAAAGGAGGCGTGGCACCTAACCCCACCCCTAAACCCAACCGTCATTGGGGAATGAGCAAATCGTACTAAATTGTACGAATTAAATCGTACGTATTCATACGAATTAGCCACTTCATCAAAGTTACGAATTGTCGTGAGATTGTGTTGAAAAATACATATAAAAACATTTAGATCATTTACTCCAATCATGAATGTCAACCATGAATGTCAACCAGCACAACAGCACATGTTTCTGAAGACAATCGCCTACTGCACCTTTACGTTTTAAGAGTTTAATATTGAAATGGACTTTTCTTTGCAAAACACACTGCTATAATCTTCACAGGTGGCTGCAGAAGCATGCTAAGGTAGAAAGAAAGGCAACACTTGATTTTAGCCTACTAGCTGGTTGCTTTGTAAATTTCATGCGGTCTTCTTCTGGATCATGTGGTTTGTAAATGTCTGTCCTGATAGCTGGAGTGCACTAATCAAGTCCTTTTCCATCGTCTGCTTATCGTTCTGGCCTTGAGCGACTCACTGAAGCACAGGTGCACGAGCGAGGAGACTTCTGAATGAAACACGTCTGCTCCCTAATCTTCACCTCATCTCAAACAAATAACCCCCAGAGCACCTGACACTGCTCGCTTTCACGTCAGCACATCTGCCGGCTTCTCTTTCTACGCACCCGCAACCTTTAAGTTCGGATGATTATTAAAGTGAATCCATCTGCATCGACGGCAGCCTTGAGAACAAGCGAACATGATCTAGACCCGCTTCTCATTCTGCACAACTGTCTGAGAATGTTAAAGCTCCGTTTGATGTTTTGCTGTCTCTAAACTGCAGTTTCCTGTCGGAGAAGGTCACACACCCGCCGCTCTATCCAGACAGCAGATAAGGTGCCAGCTCTGTGCCTGCTCTACAACTACCGTCCTCTGGCATTATTATTAGCAATTTGGAGCGCTCGGGACCAGACAGCCACTCCATCTGCCTGGGGGAGCGTCGGGATTGGGATTATCAGAGGCCCTTTGGTCCCATCCGCAGGTTGGGAAAGGAATGATAACCATCTCAAGATGACTGCCATGTGTGCACAACAACACAAGAAAAGGAGAAGAAGAAGAAGGAGGGAAGGAAAATAAAGAGAGTGGCAGATACACCTTTGGAGCTGTTTTCATTGGATGAGGCCTTACCTGAGCTGGGTGTGATTGACCTCAGTGTCCATGGCAACCCAGAGGGGGTGATGTCATGAGATCATTATTTATGCAAGACTTGGAGTTTGTCAAGTGAAGCAGACTGTGGCATTTTTTTTGAAAGCAGCATTAATAATTAACCTATTACAACTCATGAGGTCATGACTTACAAGACAGCCACCGTGGAGAGAAAGGCCCACATCGCTTCCTCCGCGTCCGAGTGGCTCCGTGCGCGCTTGCGAAACGGCTCTCCGGGTCACGGCTTCTCGTCTGTCCGCTTGGTTTAATCCGATTGTATGCAGGGTCCGCGGACTTTCCCGCTGGACTGCATGTTTTCACCGTCGGCTCGGGGTCAGCGGGGTGTGAGCGCGCCACAGCCGACACGGATGGTTGCGGTGCGCGGTCGGTCGGTAACGGCGGGGCGGGGCGAGGCGGGGCGCAGCTCAATCCTCCGGAGTCTGAGAAACAGGTGAAGCGAAGTTCAAACGCGACCCACACCTATGCGGCGTTTCCGCTCATAAAAAAACAAACAAAGTTTGCGCCCAAGTAACTTTTCCTGCTGGAAATGTCCTTCCACAGATGAGGCTTGATTAATTCCTTAGAGTGCATGCGCACGCGTCTGTCAGTGCTGATCCGCTACAGCCGAAATGACGCGCCGCGGGAGGCAGAGCACCTGGAAGGGGATGGAGCGGTGAAGACTGGACTCTGGGTACCGCGGAGCGTGCTCGGTCATGGCTGTTGGTCCAGCGCAGATGCTGCGGGAAGTGAAAGCGGCACACGCTCGCGGCCACCCGCGGCAGCAGCTCCCTGCACCTGATTTCCCGGACTCAGTTCTGGAGCTCCAGCGCAACGGCAGCCAAAACGCGGGCCGATGACATCACCTCCAAAATGTTTGAAGGGGAAAGAATGCAATCCGAGCTTTTTATTTATTTTTTAAAATGAAGAAAGTTTGCAGCTCCCCCCAGAACAGCGCAAAAGTCTGCCCGAAGAAACGGCGAAGAAAACGCGTCTCTTTTTGCGCATAAAAGCAGGCGATCCGTGCACTGGAAGCAGCGTCCACTTAACCTGCGCCTCCTCCTCTTCCTCAGCAGCGTTCATTCACAAATTCCCGGATACGCCGTTTGATAGGAAAACTAATAAAGCGGCCGTTGCGAGCGCGGTGCGTAAAAGCGGCTTGTTTCCTCTCCGCTCGTTTGTCTTCTGAAGCTGCACGGCAGAGCGCAGAAATCACTCCAAGAAAGAAAGAAAGAAAAAAAAAACAGAACAAGATTTCAGATCAATCCACCCTCCCTCCCCCAGCCCCCCCTTCTCTTTCTCTCTCCCTCGCTCCCTCTCCGTTTGCTTTCCCCCTCACACACACACACACACACACACACACACACACACACTTATTGGATCCAAACGAGATTACTCAGCCTCGGTGTGATGCCGCCCGACTCCAGCGAAAACACTCGCCAATGTCACCATGCGCAACAAAGAGCCGCGCGCACACACGCGCGCGCACCAGCGGTCCTGCCGGGACGCACCGCGCATCGGAAACAGTCCCAAACTAACCCCACACTTTAAATCTGCCACCGATTCAAACCCAGAAGTTTAGTGCTTTTTAATGCGTTTTGATGCGTTTCATGCCTGTAAAACTCAAGAGGGCAGAGTGAAGAGAGACGCTTCATTTGAAAGCGGGAGGGAGGTATGAAAGCTCACGGTCCGATCCAAAAGGAACATTTCTCAGCACCGCGACAGAACCGCAGACGGTCAGCCAAGCCAACACTCACCCACCCTCCCCGATCCCCCACCTCTCTCTCTCTCTCTCTCTCTCTCTCTCTCTCTCTTACGCACACACACTTTTACTTAGCTATCTAAATGAGGACATACCATAGACATCTGTTGTTTTATATAGACCTCAAGCGAGACTAGCTCAGCTAACAAAAATACGTTCTAAGAACATTCCCTTTAAGCTAGTAAAGGCTTATTTCTGAATCTTCAACACGTCCAGTTTTTTAATTTATTTATTTAAAAAAATCTTGGTTATGCTGAAGTTGAATAAATCATATTAGCTTCCATTTGCAACCATTGTGGAAAGTTACTTCTGAATTTTGATAGTTAAACAAATGTCTAAAATGATTCAGGAAAATAATTATGCACCAAAAACTTTTTGCATCATTACAGATAGAAAACTTTGAGCACACTGTAATATCGTCCTTGAAACGTTAATATATTTCATGAAAATCTTGCCAGAACTTAAACCTGAGCGTTTGTTTGCCGGATTAGCTGAAAACCACAGGTCAGAGGAAAACATCTTCTCTGAACATTTTGAAACTAGTAATGAAGGAAGGAACAAATGTTGTAAAAAAGCAAGGAATATAAGACAACTGTCCAGCTTTGAATGAACATTATATTCTTGTTACTGGAAGAATGCTTGCTCATATCTGAGGAGAACTTTGCCAGAAGGTTAGCCAGTACTGAGAATGTTCTCTGTTAGCTGAGAACCAATCTTGCAGTGCTGGAAAGAAAAAAAACATGCTGGTCTCCCACCTTGATTAGCTGAAAACATCCGCAAAACCAGCCAATATCTGATCATGCTTAGTATTTTTAGCTGCTAGTTTTTAGCAACCAACCCTACCAACATTCAGTAAAAGACTTATTTGCACCATTACGAATGACTGTTGTCACAGTCTAAAAGAAATATGTAAAAATTATGGTAAAAAAAGGGGCAGCTGCACAAAATCTGTAGTTTTATGGTTTATTTCCGGCAGCTGGGGTGTAAACGTAAAATTATGGTCGTTAAATTACAGAAATTTGCTGTTAAATAAGAGATTGAATTACAGAAATTTATCAGAAAATTAAATTGAAGTAAATTTCTGTAACTTAATGTCTGTTATTTTACAGTAAATTTCTGTAACTTAATGTCCGTTATTTTACAGTAAATTTCTGTAATGTAATGTCCGTTATTTTCCAGTAAATTTCTGTAACTTAATGTCCGTTATTTTACAGTAAATTTCTGTAATGTAATGTCCGTTATTTTACAGTAAATTTCTGTAATTTAATGTTTGTTATTTTACAGTAAATTTCTGTAACCTAATGTCTGTTATTTTACAGTAAATTTCTGTAATGTAATGTCCGTTATTTTACAGTAAATTTCTGCAACTTAATGTCCATTATTATACAGTAAATTTCTGTAACTTAATGTCCATTATTATACAGTAAATTTCTGTAATTTAATGTCCGTTATTTTACAGTAAATTTCTGTAATGTAATGTCAGTTATTTTACAGTAAATTTCCGTAACTTAATGTCCGTTATTTTACAGTAAATTTCCGTAACTTAATGTCCGTTATTTTACAGTAAATGTCTGTAATGTAATGTCTGTTATTTTACAGTAAATTTCTGTAACTTAATGTCCATTATTATACAGTAAATTTCTGTAATTTAATGTCCGTTATTTTACAGTAAATTTCTGTAATTTAATGTCCGTTATTTTACAGTAAATTTCTGTAATGTAATGTCAGTTATTTTACAGTAAATTTCCGTAACTTAATGTCCGTTATTTTACAGTAAATGTCTGTAATGTAATGTCTGTTATTTTACAGTAAATTTCTGTAATTTAATGTCCGTTATTTTACAGTAAATTTCTGTAATTTAATGTCCGTTATTTTACAGTAAATTTCTGTAATTTAATGTCCGTTATTTTACAGTAAATTTCTGTAATTTAATGTCCATTATTTTACTTTTTTTCCAGCACCCTCTTCACTTTTGTCCGCGACACTCCTCCACCATCCACCGCACCAATCCCCGCTATACAGTTCTAGTGGATCATTTGGAAAAGTGTCAGAAGGTCAATTTTTCTGCTGAATTATCTGTTGAACAGCATCCCAATCATCTCAAACACTTACTGACCTACTAGAACCAGCATGGAGCCAAGATTCTCACAGAATTCAGTGAAGTTTGGTGAAAGGAAAAAAAATGGTTTGGGGTTACATACAGTATGGGGAGATCTGCAGAGAGAATGGCAACATCAACAACCTGAGGTCTCAAGACATTTGTGCTGCCCATTACATTACAAACCACAGGAGAGGGCAAATTTTCCAGCAGGTTAGCGCTCCTCATACTTCAGCCTCCACATCAAAGTTCCAGGATTCAGGAGCTCCAGGATTGGCCAGCCCAGTCACCAGACTTAAACATTATTGAGCATGTCTGGGGTAAGATGAAGGAGGAGGCATTGAAGATGAATCCAAAGAGTCTTGATGAACTGCTTGCTTTGCCATGAGTCATTGCAGAGATGTATTGAGGCATTCCTGTCATGCAGTTTACTATCACATGTCGTAAACATGTCAGTTTACTGTTTTTAACTGTATATATTACAGAAACGCATTCGTTTTTAACAGTTTTTACTATTGAAATTACGGTCATTTTTTATATTGCAGTTTAACTACCGCTTCTAGGAGCATTTTTAAACTTGAAGTGTAACTAAACCAACGCGCACACACCCAAGCGCACTAGTCATGTGCATGTGTGCGAGCTGGGAGACAGTTATTAATAGTGGGACACGGGGGTCAGTAGTTAGTCAGTGATTTGGACTCGCGGGTCATCCCTTTGGTCCCCTCCACCCATTGTAGCACACACACACATTGACTTTCTCCTCGAAACGCATTCATGCTTGCTTCTTGTTTCAACCGCTCCCAACTTATGAAGTATGTGCCATTGGAAAGAAAGTTGTTTTTCAGAGGAAGAGAGAGGAAAGGAGGGACAGAGAGGAGGAAAGAAGAGGCAGATAAGAGCCATTATTAATCCACCTGACATTTAGAGTCCATTTCCCTCCGGTCTTCCCAACGTCCGTCACCTCCAACATGCAGTTTCCTCTTGTGTTCTGTGCTGTGCTTCCACTAGAGGGCGTATTTACTTACTGAGCAACATCAGGCGTTCAAGTGCAGCATTTAGGGTATGCTCAGAATTTACTAGCATGCCATTCCTATTATTCTGCGTTATATAAAATATACTGCTAGTATAACGTTTTAGAACAGGATGATTTCTTTACACCAAGCCTGCATTAAAAAAAATAATAATAAAAACTATATATATATATATATATATATATATATATATATATATATATATATATATATATATATATATATATATATATATATATATATATATAATGTTAATGAAACTAAACTTTTTCTCTTTTAGGTAAGTTAGGATTATCAAATGTGTTTCTGTTATGCTGAGAGATATTTTTTGAGAAATTGTTACAACTTTTCTTGAAAATCAAGTTTACATACAATAAGATTATTCTTCCTCTGAAAAAGCTCAGATGATGGTGTCAAGGTTTTGAAAGTGTCTAATTGGCTAATTGACAACATTTGAGTTAATTAGTGAATTCAAAAAGCCAGAATCAACAAAAAAAGCCAGATTACAGTTTCCTAAATTACACTGGGAAAAATAATAATTTCTGAAGACATGTCCTGTGCTCTGATGGAGCTAAGATTGAACTGTTTGGCCATAATCACCTGTGTTATTTGAAGGACAAAGGGAAAAGCTTACAAGCCTAGGAACACCATCCCAACCGTAAAGTATGGGGGCGGCAGCATCATGTTGTGGGGCTGTTTTGCTGCAGGAGGGACTGGTCCACTTCACATCATAGATGGCATCATGAAGAAAGAACATTATGTAGAAATACTGAAGCAACATCTCAAGACATCGGCCAGGAAATTAAAACTTGGCCACAAATGGGTCTTAAAACAGACCATGACCCTAAGCATACTGCCAAATTAGTTCAAATGTGCTTTAAGGACAACAGAGTGAATGTTTTGGAGTGGCCATCACAAAGCCCTGATCTAAATCCTATAGAAAATTTGTGGGCAGAATTGAAAAAGCTTGTGCCTATAAATCTGACTCCATTACACCAATTCTGTCAGGAGGAATGGGACATTTGACCAAAGTTATACAGTTTAAAAGCAAAGCAAAAAAATAATAATAAAAAATAAATAAAAAAAAACAAGGAAATGTATGTAAACTTTTGACTGTCGAAAAAAATAAAAAATCTTTAAAAAAAATTAGTATGATTTACCAACAGGCATTTAAAAAAACTGGCTATGTTTCTTTTTTAGAGTGCATGTAAACTTCTGGTTTCAACTGTGTATATATATTAAATGCAGACTTGGTGAAAAAAAAAAAAAAAAAATTATATATATATATATATATATATATATATATATATATATATATATATATATATTTATACAACAGTTCTGTCTGGTTCTCGAATCTGGTTGGCTGATAGCCGTGATATATTTAAGTGATATCAGCACCAATACAGCCTCTTTACCCTTGTATTTTAACCCATACAGCCTTTTTATCTTGTGTATTACTCTGCCCACATACAGCCAGCAAAAAGCAGACACTACAGATCTAAAGTTTAAAAGATGCACGCTCAGCTCTTTAACTGTCAGCTTATCATTTGAATCAAAGGCGGAAAAAAGTAGTTCCTCATACAAAAGGGATTTTGAGACACTCCATGTTTGGTTTTGTTTTTATATACACAATTATGCCGTCAAACTGTTGTTTAAAGGCAATATCACACTCGTAGCAGTGCGATATGGCTGTATATCGGCACTGGTGGGGGCACTAAGGCAATCGGCCTGCGGCTTTGTGCCAACGATCGCCTCCCACCAGTGCCGATATACAGCCATATCGCACTGCTACGAGTGTGATATTGTTGGGTTTAGGTTTTGGGTAGGATTAGAGATGCAGAATAAGATCATACTTTATAGCTGCTAATGAACAGTTAATA